GAAATTTCCCGGTTCGGGTTTCTGGATGTTAAACCGAATTCACTTCAAAGCGCAGAACGGCGTTCGGTTCAAATGAACATCAGTCCAAAGTCCAAACAGCCACTTAAGGGGGCATTATGATATAAATTGGGCTTGTCGGATCTTTAGCCCATAACTACGTATAATAAGTAGGAAGTATTTTAGATTTTTGGGTAGCAATATTTGGGATTTTACGAATATAAAAAGTATATTATGATGGCTGGCTAATAGAAAGAGTATATTATAATGTGCGTTATACGAAGAGCTGAAAGATAAACTGATAGTGAAAAAACAAAACGGAAAGAGCTAAAATTTGAAAGAAAAAAAAACGATTATAAGATAATTTACATATATGATCTAAAGTCAAATGAAATCGCAACACATAATTTGAAGTTAAATATATAAATATAATAATTTATAGAAGTATGGTCACTAGCATAGCCTCACCATTTTGCTTTCATGAATCATCCCACTTGTATTTTTTTTTAATTTTATAAAAACTTAAAACAGAGAAATACAAATTGAACACTATTTTCCTCACCGAATGTTTCTGATAAATAATGTTAACTATCATCTAATGCATAACTTTATATTAATTTCGCTATCATCCAATATGTTATCCAATAATCGAACCTTGTTGTTACTTTAGCCTATAAAGGGATCTATAAACTTTAGAGTTTTGGTTATAATTAATTCAGCATTATTGCTAAAATTCAAATTAAGAAGACGCCATGATTCATCAAACCCATAAAGAACTACCAAAGGTCAATGATAAATGTTCGAACCAATCAGTCTACCCAAGAGCCAATTTTCTAATATCAGTTTCATATTCCAGAATATATAGTTTACAGGACAAACTCTTATATTTCGATTTTTGTAAACGACTTGTTTAATTTGGTCATATAATTTGAAATGTATAAAAATTACTTAATTAAGTGTAATGCTGCGAAGATAATGAATCTAATTTGAACGGAATATTCGAACAGATATACAAGAACCCACGTAGTGATACAGATCTTCAAGCGG